CTGACAAAATTCACAGCGTTTATAATTTTATTTGATATAGCGAGCTGAATAGGCATATATCATTGTCCCTTGGCTAGACTACATGTAGTAATTGATGTGTAAAAGGAGACTGTGTGTTGTATAGTGGTCTATGATTGAATTCATCCGATATATCATTGTTCGTTTGAGCGGATTTCCAACCGTGTGCTGTTTTCATTGTAAACACGTCACTTCCGATATACTAGAATATTCTCGATTGAGACAGGAAAAATAAAAACAATTAGGATGTTCCCATTTCTGTGATATACAGTAGAGCGTAAGGTATATAATATAGAGAGAGTATAGCGCATGCCCAAATCCTCCACGTCGGGATCCTTGTAGTAGAAGGAGTAAAGGAAGAAAGAAAAACACAGCATAATATATCAAACAACCGTCGACATCAACAACAGTAACATAAGGAGTACTATTTTATTAACCCAAAAGATGTTGAACATCATCCGCATTACACAAAAAGTACTTTCTCAAGAAGGTAGTCTAATCGAATTGTAAACTCGTGAGCACATAGTTAGCACTATTTTGTTGGTCCTCGAAATTTAAAAAATCGCACCCCCCCCCCTTGAGCGCCAGGGGGGGGGGGGGTCTCCAAAATAGGTAAAATGAATGTGTTTTTACACGTTTTTTTCCCAGGGGGACCACCGATTAGAAAATGCGGAGAGCGACAAAGATAAGGAACAAAAATATCGACAAGAAAGAAAAAGGAGAAGAAAGGGTTCAAACAAAAAATAGTTCAGGTAACTATAATACTCATGAGAAGAAAAGCGAAAGTCAAGAGTTACAACAAGAAAAGACACAGAAAGACACGATAGAAAATCGAAGAAACGAAGGTTACAAATCAATATATAAAAACTTTGGGATATTATATCAATGATCAAACTCAAGGTGTTAATTGTTTAAATCTCTTTTCTCTGAATGTGAGAGGGCTAAGAAATAAGCAAAAAAAGAAATATGTTGTTTCAATTTCTTGTTAGACAAAAGTCAAATGTAATTTTATTACAGGAAACATTTTTGACAGAATACAATTTTTTTTTTTATAAAGAATGGGGAGGTAAAACTTTTCACTCGTTTGGGACGAAGCATAGCAGGGGTCAGGCGCGTACGCAGGGGGGGGGGGGGGGTTTGGGGGTTAAACCCCCCTTTGGTATTTTTATGTGTGTAAACCCCCTAAAAAATCCCTAACCCCCCCCCCCCCTTTGGATTTTTTTTTTTTTTTTTTTATTATTAAAAAAAAAATTAAAAAAAAAAAATTACCCCCATGGCTGACCTAAGAAAGATGACCTTACACCCCCCCCCCCAACGGAGCAAAATGTCAAATTTTCAAATTTCGAGACCAAAAAAAAAAAAGTGTCCCCTTTAACTTTTTTAATGGGTGTATTTTGGACTTATTCCCCCCCCCCCCCCCTTTGGAATTTTTTTAAAATAACAAATAACAAAAAATAACAAAAATTGTGGTAATGAGTGACCCAAAAAATTGACATTACCCCCCCCCCCCCCCCAAACGAAACGAAATATCGATCGGCCAAATTTTCAATTTTTGAGACACACACAAACAAAATGTCCTCTTAACCCCCCCCCCCCCCCCCCCCCCCCCGCCGCTTATTCAGCGGCTGGCTGAGTGGTTGCGAAATTTTCGGCGTGATCTTCAAATTTAACCCCCCCCCCCACCCCCCCCCCCCCCCCCCCCCCCCCCCCCCCCTCGAAAACAACTCCTTGTTAAAGAATGAGGAATATAAAATGGGTGTTAGAAATGTTATCCGGAATGTGACATTTGAACATAGGACAGAGTCTGACACCAATTCGCAGTTTGTGTGGGACATGTGTAAATCAAAGATTCGTGATTATACTATTATGTTTGCAAAAAAAAAACGAAATTAAATGAAAGGAAAGTTTTATTTGAGTTAGTTGAAAGATTGCACGATCAAGTATGCAACGGAAGAAAAGAACAAGAAGAAGAGTTGACCAGTGTAAAAATGGAGTTAAATGCATATTACAAATATTTATGTGATGGTGCTAGAGTTAGAGCAAGGGTAACTCTGTTTGAAGAAGGGGAAAGTAATTCCAAATATTTTTTAGGTTTAGAAACAAGAAACGGTGCAAAACGATCCAACTCTTGTTTAAGGATTGGTGGAAAGTTGGAGTACGACAAGGACAAAATCTTAAAATTTATTGAGAAGTTTTACTCAAGACTCTATAGGTCAAATGAGTGTAATGAAGAATTAAAAGATTCATACTGTACATGACAGAAGTAGAAATACCACGTCTGAATAGACACGAAGCAGATGCATGCGAAGGGCTCGTTACAATGAAAGAGATTACTGAAGCGATAACAAGTATGAAACCTAATAAAGTACCAGGGTTCGACGGTTTAAGTGTAGAATTTTATTAAGAATTTTGGTCAGAAGTAAATGATGTGGTTCTTTATAGTTTGAACGAGGCTTTTGAGAAAGGACATTTAAGTTATTCAAAAGGAAAGGCGTTATTATTTTATTGTTTAAAGGTGATGGAGATAAACAGGAACTTGAAAATTGGAGACCAATAACTCTTTTAAATATAGACTACAAGATATTAGCGATGGTTTTGACCAAAAGATTACGAAATGTGTTAGCAGATATTATTAATGAAGATTGTCCCCTGTCTGCCCTACTTTTTATCCTGAGTGTCGAAGTTTTAAGCAACAGAATAAGACAGAATGTAAATATTAAAGGTATTACTATCGGAAGACACAAAACAGAAATTAAGGTAGCTCAACTGGCTGATGATATGACAATTTTTGTACAAGACGTTAAATCTGGAAGGAAGGTAATAAAAGTGAATGAAAATTTTGAAAGGGTATCGGGAATACATTTAAATACGAATAAAACTAAAGCTATATGGTTGGGCAAAACTTCTCCTTCAGAGACAATAAAGAATATAAGTTGGTGTGATACTTTTGTTAAATCTCTGGGTATATACTTCAGTAAGAATAAATCTTTGAGTATGAATATGAATTGGTCTCAAGAAAGATTCATTAAAATACAACAATATTTTAAGGGAAAGTAATTATCTTAAAAAGCCTTGTTATTTCAAAATTGATTTATACAGCTCAAGTTTTATCGTGCCATATGGAATGGATAAAAGCGTATGCAAAGTTGTTTTATAATTTTTTATGGGGTAATAGAGCAAAAGTGAAAAAGGAAAACATGATAAATACTCTTCAAAATGGAGGCATGAATATGGTTGACATGTGTACACAATTTATGTCGTTACGAATAAAATGGTTGTTTAGCTTCTTAAGTTTTAAAGAATGCCAAGAAAAGAAAGGGGATGGATAATTTTTTTTTAGTATTGGATTGAAAAATTGGGAGGGATTGATATCATTATGAATTGTAAATGTTTACCAAAATATGTGACTTCTTAAAGAGGGAAAATACATTACTTTGTACATGGTTTAATGTAAAGCGAGTTAATTATGTAAAAGATATACACCACACCTATGGAAGTGTTACAAAATAAATTATTTGGTTAAATTGTGATATCAAATTTAAAGGAAAAGCATTGTTGTATACAATGATTGGATAAAATCGGGTATATTATTTTTAGGGGATATAGTGATAGGAAATAGATTTTTGACAGTCAAAGAATTGAAAGATAAACTTATCTATTATGATGGTAGATGGTTGAGTGAATATGCCAAAATAAGAACCGCAATACAACAAAGATGGAGGCGAATCATAAAATATGGTGAACAAGTATTATGATTTTAACGATTACAAACGTAAATCAGTGATATACTCTGATTTGAACTTGAATAGTTTTGAATTATCAATACACTCTATTACTGTGAAAATAATATAAACGGAACTCATAAAATTAATCCAAAAACCATCTAGGGCGGTAGACTTCTGGAACAAAATCTTACAGACAAATTTTTCTATTAAGTGGGATTCTTTATGGTTATTTAAATTGAAATATGCTAGTGATAATTATTTGATACAATTCAACTTTAAATTTATGTATAATATTTTACCAACACCTGTTAATTTATTCAAATGGAAAATCAAAGAAAACAATTTGTGTTATTGCTGTAGAAAACCTGGTCCTATAATACATGTATTTTTTGAATGCGAACATCAAGATATTTACCGATTTTGGAACGTTATTGAAATATTATTATGTAACTCCTTCTGTAAAATTTTTAAATTCTCATCCATTTGTGTTGTATAATGGTGGTTTTCATGACGCAAAAGAAAATGTTGACTGATTTAATACTTCATTATGCTTTATTTACAATCTATAAAGCGAGTGTTGGAAATCAATTTAATAAAAATGTAGTAACTAGAATAATAAGCAAATATTTGTTTTTTATGTTGAAATACAAAATAGAAGTAGAGGAAAATAAAACTAAGACAACAGATTTAAATATTACTAAGTGGAAGAAGACAATTACTGATTTATAAATAGAGATATATTATTTGATTTGATCTCATTTAAACATGTGATTAGGTGCTTTGTTATGAATATTTATGTACTACGATGTTATCCGTGATTTTATCTGAATAAAGATTTATTTCAACAACAAAAATAAAAAAAGCCTTGGTAAAGCAGTGGTCTCGTAATCCGGTGACCCGGGTTCGAAACCATGGCGATGCGCTAGTGCCCTTACAAAAATGTGTTTATACTGAATTGTATTAATGCATGCGCATCAACACAACACCCCCCCCCCCCCATAAACGATTAGATGACTTCTTACAGCCAAACTGTTTGCTTGCTGAGTTTACAGCATTTTCATAATTTTTTTACCCCACCCGTCAATGACCAGTCGATCGGGGAAAGTCCCCGAATCTTCTAGGCTAACGTGATGTCACAGCAAGACTGTACTCCGTTCTCCAGCGAAGAGCAATTTGGACGTACACATAATAATGTCCTCAACTTTTAGTCCAGTCTCCGTGTGACTTGCATACACTTAACATGTTATTGCGCCATACGCTGAATGCATGCAGTGCGAAACTGAGAGGATAATTCAACTTCCAACAATTCAAGTTCAAACCTGATTTTGTAACTAGGTATGTATTCGATAACCGTAACGTAGAACTAGTATTTATGTAATATGTTGATACATGTAGTGAAATAAATTGACAGCATTAATTATGTGACTTTGAATGAGTAAAATTGTGAAAAGATGATTGACTTTGCCACGCCACGTAAGTCTATGTAACTTGTCTATCATATCGACAATCTACACAACTGAGGTTTGGGTGGGTGGCAATGCAGTCGGTACCGGGCCGTGCGAGCGACACGATTGCGCAGCAGTCTGGCTGGCGCTGGTGTGTGTGTAGGCCTATGTGTAATTCGGATATTACAGACATGTATCAATCAGATATTATTATTTACGTCTGGGGACCGACCTTTAATGTCACCATCCAAAAGACGTGGGTTTTGAACCTGCATTCTCGGCTGAATCAGTTTTTAGGGTCCATTGTTTAATAGCTTGATTACACTGCACAGATGCACGCTATCACGCCACAACGCCTCGTTGGGATCTTGTTAACGGTACAGGGTGCTACAAGAATTTTTTTCACCACTTGCCCTGTCGGGCAAGTGGGTTTTCAATTTACTTGCCCAAACAATATTTCCACTTGCCCAAAACTTTAAAGCGAAAAAGGACTCGAGGTTAAAGCATTTATTATCTCGTAATGATAAGTTAGTGTTTTAGATAAAAAAACAGCTGATCAACGCACGTGTGTGTCTGTGCAAGCCGCTGTCATTTGGAAACGTAGGCTAATTTTCAGCTGTTAATAATTTGGGTCAACTCTTCCATCAAGAAACGTCATGTAAATAATGGGTAATCAACTATTTTAAATAAAGTACGGACATTTTTATTTCATCATTCACTGCTATAAATATCATGCCAAAATTTGTAAATTCTTACTAAATAATAATATTGAAGATATTTTACGATAAATCTCGGATAAGTATGCGAAAACTAGACTAAACAACGTCGCTAAAACCATGAAAACAAAACAACAACGGCTTATATTCTGGGGGTCTCGATACTATTATCAAAATGACTCGCTCGGTCGGATCTTGAGACCGCAGTAATAAATTGAAAACGAGACAAAAACATTCATCTGATTTATATGAGCAGCGAGTTTTAAATAATATGTTCACAATCATTAACAGTCATTATGAATAAATATCAAACATTTGACTTTTTGTACTTACTAGAAAATCCCTGTTGTTTATTCCATTCCGATTCGCACGTGTTCATTTCCCTAGAATAATGACGTCATATTTGGCGTGATTCAACCAATCGGCAATCAGAGAATAGCAAAGGCCTGTCGGTGCGGCCTGCAGAGCTAGAGAGAGAGCGCGCGAATAAGCTCGCAGCTGGTACGATCGCGCTAGCTGTCTCTAGCTAGCTCACGGCCGGCCGTGCGTGGAGGCGGAGCGGCATTCATGGCTTGAAGTGTCACTGTTGCATGCGCGCTGAGCTAGCTGAGCTGGCTAGCTGTCTGTGAATTTTTTTCGAAATCGGAACGATCGCTTTTTTGCTTCTGGATTTTGACGACGGGTAAGAAGTTGACGGGTGAATGGTAGAGTTCTTGGACACTAGGAAATTACTGTAAAAGTATCACTTGCCCGAATCGGGCAAGTGATAATTTGATTTACTTGCCCGACGGCTCAATTTGGTTGCCCCGGGACGTCGGGCAAGCGGGTTTGTCGCGCCCTGCGGTATTTAATATGCATGCATGCCTAGCTGTCATCTAGCATCTGTTCTGTTTGAGCGTATGGTTATGATTGTCACTCTTGACAACTGTATGGTACCCTGACCTCAGTAAATTTTCTGACGTATGCCTAGTCCTTATCGTTGCATCCACCCCAAGTCTAATAATTAATATACACATCGCTCGTGCTTGCTTGCTAAAGCCGTCGAGTCTGGCACAGCTACCACGCCGAGAGCCTGAAACAATTGAAATTCATGTGCATCATACCTAATTTTTAGTTAAGTCTTAATCTCTTAAGACTTAAGAGCAATAAAATCAGAAATTAAAGTCTTACTGATACTATGCAAAATTTACTTTATTCATTTGTTTTGTCATGTTTTACTCCCAAGTATGGTTGATGTTGAAAACATTTCAAGCTAGCTAGTCTAGCGACGTGCGTTGCGCGGGCAGCTAGCATCATAGCTAGTACATGATGTACATGTAGGCCTACAGTATAATTATGTACAACGTATGTCACTATCAGATCTAACGCACGCTGCATGTATAGCTAGCGACAGCTGATGTATACATTTTGAGCTCGATAAATGCCTTAAAAATCTTGCAAAGTATTACTTTAGTTTCTGATTTTATTGCTCGTAATTACATATGCAGGTTAAATCGATGTGATAAATTATAATTGTAAGATCCCTTGTTGACCATACATTGTGAGACAAACGAATATCACTAGCGATATTATTTTCGATATCAGTTCTTGGTCACCTCGTGTATTCTCTTGTCTGTGTGATAAGATATGAAGTGCATTAATGCCAGTAGTACGCTAAAAACACATTTGCGGTTTAACTTTAAGCTGCTGCATTATACTGTGACATATATGAACCACCCGTCATGTACACTACCCTTTCTGCATCAATTTTCTTCCAGTAGGAATACTTGAGTTACCATGGCAACTGAAGAACGGGCCACTTCTCAGCCCCTCTTCAAGAACATTTCTGGTGACCTGGATGACCTCGAGGCCACGGAGATCGAGAGCTTGTGTGTGAACTGCGAGGAAAATGTAAGTTGATGTGAACGCATTTACCTGTACAGATCAAAGAGAAGATTGAGTTCTGGGCCCTATTTCATAAAGCTTGTTGTCAATAACAAGTTACAATAACTGTCATAAGCTACTGAAACAGTAGCATTCAAGTTCATTTTATTAAAAACCACACAAAACATGATATAATCTTTTACATAAAAAAGAGACTGGTATTAGTACATTAATTAACATATATTAACTTGATTACATCATAAAATGAATGGTTTAGGATTAAAGCTTGTGAGTGGGGCCCTATAGTCGACAAAATACATACATTAACACTATGGCAAGGTGAATAAAAAGAATGGAACGTATATACAAGCAAGGGATGGAAGTACTAAGCTACATAATAAAGAACCCACAAATACTCAAACACACATGTGGGCACGCATTTGATTGGCTGAGAGCAGATTTGTCATAGAAATTCAGTATTTGTTATTGATAACACATTTTATGAAACGGGGGCCCTGGACTTCTGGTTAGGCAAACAATAAATTGTGAGCTTTTTCATTCCTTTTATTAAAGTGAGAGGATATCATGGAAGCAATTTCTCCTGAAAAGATTGGCTCTTCTGACCTCTTCATACTTGAATTGTGATTAGAAATCGCTGAAGAATTTGGATCATAAGATCACGCCACGTGTGTGTTGCCACGTGTGTGTTGTCCCGTGTGTACATTTCTGTGTGAAATACATGTGACTTTAGGTAAGACCAAATCACTTTTTTTATCATCTTGATGATTTAGAAATCTCACAGCTTACACTGAGTCTTAGGTTGCTATATAATCAATCTTTTATAGATAAAGTAATATTGCATTTAGATAGTGATCCTTGAGAAAGCTTCTCCCTCCCCTCTTTCTCTCTCCTTTCTTTCTCTCTCCCTTCTTTCATCTTATCTCTTTCTCTCCCACTCTCACAGGGGACAACAAAGCTTCTCCTGACCAGGATTCCGTTCTTCAAGTCTGTCGTCATCAGTTCCTTTGACTGCCCCCACTGTCACTATACCAACAACGAGATCCAGCCGGCCAGTGCCTTGCAACCACAAGGATGTATCCACGAGGTCGAGATCAGGACGGAAAAGGTAACAAACTTTAAAATTTCAATCACTACCATGAAGGGATGCCAGTGTTAGGCAATAGCCTGAATTCAGGCCCTGGCAAGTTATTTTCAGACCATAGTTTAGGCTTTTTTGTGTACAAAATAGCTCATTCTAGGTGATTTTCAGGCCCTCTGATCAATTATAACTAGCATCCCTGTACCATGGAAGCCTTGATTTTGATTGGCTGTTGAGCCCTGTTACCATGGTAGTCAACCAAAAAATTACTTTTTTTTTTTACGAGGGCTCTTTTCAGATTTTCCCTTAAAAAAATAGCCCCCCTTAATTATTTTGCGGTGGCTATTTTGGAGCTCAGGGGGGCTTTTTTTTTTTTAAAGGCTGTATTTTTTTTAAACGCGGTTTTACCTAATTAAATTCCAAGCAAAGGCAAATATAGATACAATTGTAGCGTACATATGTCATGTAGAGTATTGCAGACATTCAGATACCCATGATTTATTCACGTTGTGTTAAACGTGTGGCTTTATGATTTACATATACATGTAACTAAAACTTGTCAAAAGGAGTGTTTTGTTTAACTGTTCGTTTTTCATATCCTAAGAAAATATTATCACTGACACGCGGGCTAGGAATTAATTTTTTTATGGGGGCTACTTTTCCCCATTGCCTAAAAAAAACCAAGGGGCTACTTCCTTAAAGCCATATTGTAAGCTGTAACAATAAGTTGTGTTTTTCCTTAGCCATCATACTACTAGCAACCAAATTGGTAGGTAATATGTTATTTAGTCTTTTTTTCTGTCCCAAATTTAATTGTTATCATGGACAATGCAATCCCATTAAAAAAAAATGTAGACCAACTCCCTTTAAAATTGTGTTATTTAGACCATTTATAACCATTAAATGTGAGTAAATATTTTTACTGTTGTCCCACATACCGATGTAGGGTCTATTTGTTATGCCGAAACATGCAAATCATGGCCTTATTTTTTTTTTTTATAGACTCTAATTCTAAAGGCCAAGCCAAAGCTAGTTTCATTTCGTAGACAGAAATTGATGTCATCATCACTCATGACAATTGGCCTGGCATCGATCGTATATAAATAATTTAATTTAATTAAACAGTTGTAAGAAAGATTCTGAGGAGTATTAACATCCTTTATATATTTATTTACGGTTTTTTTATAACAAAATTCAATTTCTGTGTACGAAACTTGCTTTATACCGATTTTACAGGAAAAAAATCCGGCATTGATTTTGCACGTTTCGTTATTACAAATATATCAGTATGTGGGACAACAGTAAAAATATACTCGCACTTAATGGTTTTAACTTATAAATAACACAATTTTAGACGGAATAACATTTTTTTTAATGGGATTGCATTGTCCATGATAAAATTAGGGCCAGAAAAAAGACTAAATAAACATATTACGTACCAATTTGGTCGCTAGCAGTTGAGCTCTCGTCACTCGCAAATACTTATTTGCTTCATACAAGGAGCGTGCGGGCGCGCGCTGGAGCTGAGCTAGTACGTTTCTGTGTATTGTGAACGTGTGCGAACTGCGTATGCATTCATGCTGTGCGCGAAACTACATCGGGGCCGGTGGCCTGTCCGGCCGCCGGGAGCTTAGGCGCAGGCAGGCGGATACCGCTGTAGATCTAGCTACAGTAGGTACGACCGCCGATCCGCTGCAACTCACAAAACTTTTAAAATGTTGATGGAAGTTTCTAGTTTTGGAGTTGGTAGTTGGAACGGAGATTTCACTCAGACACATCAATAAATTGGTTTATTAATTCATAGGGAATATCAATTTATGGCGGGGGCGATTTTTCAAGATATATTGATTTTTTTTCGCCCTCGTCTTGATTTTTACCGTGGCGATTTCAGAGGTTTAGGGGGCGAATCGCCCGTCGCCACCGTGTATTTTTTTCGTTGATGGTAGTTGCCATTGATGGCAAAGTTACCATCAATGGTAAGTTTCATGCAACGGGCCCTGGCCTTACTGTGAGTGGGCACTGATGCATAGCCAGCTGACTGTTACATGTATCTATTAGGTCGAGATCAAGACAGAAGAGTGGCCCTGTTCAGACTATAAGAATTTATATGAAATTTGTATAAAGAAAAACAATAAGAATATTTGTAGTGTGAAAGGGGGGGGGGTACAGACTTGAGAACCACATTGTATTTTAAAGAAACTAGTTTTGAAGAAGTAAATGAAAGTGATCAGTGGACGCTCATGATAGCCCCGTTCAGTCATATGATCCCCGTATGATGCGACGTTCAGAATAGAATGGGACCCTGATTCTTTATCACTTTTCCTTTTGAATTGATGCACAAACATGTGTTACACTAAACAATGTTTCAGTTCAGGATGGGGTAGGACTTTGCATGACCAAGCACTGATGATTTGCCAGCTGTCATGTTAGCTGACCTCTTCAAATCTAGTTTCTTCTAATGTATGTACTGCTCCTTTATACAATGATCATTTATCCAATACTCAAGCATGTGTCCATGCGCCTAACTCTATGGTGATCCAGAGCTGCCAACTATTCCGTTTTTGCCGGAATTACTCTGTTTATTCCTCCAAATTACTGTACTACGTTTTTTAATAAATGTTTTTATTTTTTTTATTTTTTATTTTTTATTTTTTTACATACCGCACGTCAAACAACTTCCCTAAAATGGTGATTTGATCACAAATTCAATAGAAAACTAATTTTAAAATCTACTTGAAGAGAAAAATATTCAAAAAAAAATTAAATGCCGATAATACTAAAATAACCACCAAAAAAATTACCTGCTCGTATGGAAAAAACAGCATGATGAATGAACTGCATTGGAAGTTTCGCGCGTGGTTGTAAGTTTCGTTTTTATGAATTCCTTTTTTTTGCTTGAAATTCCTTTTTTTTTGCCATCATGATTCCTTTTTTTGGTCGCACAAGGTTGGCAGCTCTGGTGATCTAACATTTGCTCAGCCAACCAACTGCTCTGGGTTTTATTTTGTCATAGTATTTAGGGTTAAGGTTAGGCTGCAGTTGGGTTTCGGCTTAGAGTCATGGTTAGGATTAGGGTTAGGGTTAGGCTTATGTGTAGTTTTTGGGCCAGGGTTAAAGTTAAGAATTCGGTTAGTATATGAAATTACAGCAGAACAAATTGTGGGAGGAGCATGTTATACAACTTTTGAAATATGAGGGTTCTTTATATAACACTCCTTTGAATTTGTATCATATAAATATCCTGTAGTATGACGAGGCAATTGTTTTTCCTTTGCTTTTGTCTATCAACAGGATATGGACAGGCAAGTTATTAGGACAAACTCTGCATCTGTGCGTATTCCAGAACTGGATTTTGAAATCCCTGGTTTCACTCAAAAAGGATGTAAGTATAAACTGAAGATCTTACTCTTTATATTTGTCTCTATCTCTCTTGCTCCCTGTCTCCCCCTCTCTCTCTCCCTCCCTCCCCCTCCCCCTCTCTCTCTCTCCCTTCCTTCTTCGCTCCTTCTCTCATCAAAATACTGTTTAAATCAAATTATAGTACTGTGATATTATATAGGACTGGGCAAACATAAATTGACTGAATGTAACCAGGACTTTGCAGATGATTTAAACTTATTTTATACACGATTTGATTGCAATGATTTTCATGATCAAAATGAATGCTTGAGTAAATCCTTGTTAAGTAAAATCACAAGTAATGTTGGCATTGTAATATCAGAGCTAGATGTGAGGAACATCTTAAGAAGAGTAAAAGTAAACAAGGCCACTGGACCTGATGACATCTCAAATCGGATTCTTAAAACTTGTTATCAACAATTAGCTCCTATTTTTACGAGATTATATCAGTTAACTTTGGATCTAGGTGTAATACCACAAATATGGAAAACATCTTCGATTATACCAGTTCCAAAAGGGAATAGGAAAGGCAGAAGCACAGATCTGAATGCCTTTTGCCCTGTAGCACTCACATCTAATGTCATGAAATGTTTGGAAAGGTTAATTTTGAAACATCTATTGAGTCAAGCTGGCTCATTTATTGACCCCTTTCAATTTGCTTATAGACAGAATAGGGGAGTTGAGGACGCTGTTCTTGTCCTTCTTTATGGAATATATAGTCATTTAGATATCCCCAAATCATATGTAAGATGTACCTTCATTGACCTCTCTAGTGCTTTTAATACCATAACTCCTCACCTTTTAATAAATAAACTGATAGAAATGGAGGTTGATGTTAAAATAGTGCTCTGGGTTCATAACTTTCTAACAAATAGACAACAATCAGTAAGACTTGGAAATATTAAATCCCCTACTTTGTTAACCAATACAGGAGCTCCACAAGGGTGTGTCCTTTCTCACTCATTTTCACTGTATACCAGTGATTGCGCTAGTACCAGTCAATGTTCATTTATAAAGTATGCTGATGACACTGCCATCACAGGTTTCATTAAGGGAGGAAATAGTGAGAATGAGTATTTTTGTCAAGTTACCGGTAATCAGTTTGTTGAATGGTGCGATCGACACAACCTATATTTGAATGTTCAAAAAAACCAAAGAGATTATTATAGACTTTTGACGTGACGTTAATCATATCCTTTTGTATATTCATGAACAGGCAATCGAACACGTACATGAATATAAGTATCTTGGTAAGTATCTTGTACCTTGATTGATGATAAGCTACGATTTAATAAGAACACCAACGCTGTACACAGTAGAGCTACATGTAATCAACGGATGTTTTTTCTAAGGAAGCTCAAAAAATTTAACGTTGACAGGACGATCTTGCATCTTTTCTATCAGTCTATCATTCAAAGTGTTCTTCTATTCAATCTCATTTGTTTTTATGGAAATCTCACACAAGCAGACAAAACTAAACTCGAACATCCGAGGAAAATTGCTCAACGTATTATCGCCATTGAATTACCACCCCTATCAGTTTTGTTTGAAGATCGCTTATTGACTAAAATAAATTCTATTATGAAAGACCCATCACATCCACTATTTTCTTGTTTTACTTTTAACCGCTCAGGAATCCGCCTGCGTGTACCAATTACCCGTAGAGCCAGATACAGAAATTCTTTTATTCCAAATTCCATGCACATCTATAATGCACAAGTAACACAAAATTCTCAGCTTTAAGCGAAATAATAGCGATTATGATTATTTGTTAACTTTTTTTCTACCCACCCAGTAAATAAACTTGTAGGGATTGGGTTGGAAAGTTTTCCACCTTATCACCTTTGTGGGTCAAAACATCCGTTGTTTAGCTCTGCTGCTGATTTTGTTGTATTTTTCTGTCATGCATTATAATCTGATTGTAAATTATGCCATCTCTCCTTCTCTATCTCTCCCCTTTCCCTTTGGACCCTTACCAACTCTCCCTATATTTCTCTCTTTTATCAGTCCTTCGAGCTTGAGCTCTCTTCTCCTTTCTCTTTCTGCTCGTATTTCGATTGTGATGCTGCTCCTATTCTACTTTCATATTCACATCTATATTAATACCTGAATTTATTCATGATGTGATTCAGAATTGTATTTAAAATTCTTGCTATGTATAAGTCATATAACTGTTTTTTCATGTTTTGTGCTGAAAGCCGGAGGACCGTACCTGCTCATAGACTTTTTCTTATCGAGTCTTGACGCCCTTCTGGCTTTCAGCACACGACACCATGTTTTTGTCTTATGTTTTATGTATTACATGCTATACCAATGGAAAACAAATTTCTGTATTATATTATGGACAATAAAATCTTGAATCTTGACATTTATTATAAGAAATTTAATTTCAAAAGTAAGAACAATCATCTTTGTCAAACCCATCATTCTTATCATGGTTATTATTAAATATCATCATAAACTTTGTCTCTCTTTTCTTGTCTCTATCAGGAGGAAGAAGATAGAAGAAGAAGAAAGTTTTCTTGATCTGGAAGGGCTTAGGAATCTTCAAACGAACAAGGTTTGTACCTGCTTTATTCAAGGTTTTAAGGCTCAAGCGAATTCTTGATGGTGCTTTTAAAGCCAGTGGGTCGTCAGTTTCAATGTGCAGAAGGTCATAATTTGCGGACACCAGATTTGGTGGAAATACAGTCAAACCTGTCTTAACGACCACCTGTCTATAACGACCACCTATCCATAACGACCACTTAAAATCCCCCGTAAGATTTGGTGTTGCGAAGATACAGTTACAATGAGTTATCAATTTTGCATTACAATATAATAATATATGTATATGCTGTGTATAGATATGATACAATACATATTGATTGATATTTCACAGGTAATATAGTCACATGGATAAAACAAAAATTAAAAAACAAGTGGGATTATTTTCTGATGAAAAATGCCAAAATGAGTACACTGTCTCTTTTCTGGGTCATTAACTTATTTCTGTAAGTGATGTTTAACTTATAATTTGCAGTAAAGATTCTGTCCACTTACAACATACATAGAGTTTGCATTGTGGAATTCTGGAGCATTCATACAGATACACATACTTGTTTTCATACCGCTTTACTAACATATTCAATTTATGGATATTTCTTTCCTGGGGACCTAGTGATGAGTTATTCCAGTAACCTGTTATTAATGAATGAATGAACTACATACAATACTTGGAATCCAGTCTGCACACATTACGTGTTGCTATATCTTGCAAGCCTCTGGCAAGATTTTCAGGTTGTCAGGAACAAGTTTTGTTTATAAAAAGTATGCATAAAATTTGAATATGTTACTAAACCGGTATATTGAAGTGGCATGAATATAATGCATGAGACATTATTGATCCTTGACATTTGTTTGGCCATTGTTTGACCTTTAACCCATTGACAGGAAACAGCAGAGAGCTCTAGACCGGAGGAGATCATGGAGTCATCGGTTGATGCTAACGAGTGGAGGTTAGAGGTCAAGAGGGTGACCCCATCCCTAAAGGTACTATTGTCTTTGAAATGAATGGGCTGTCCCATATTGCCTCCATTACTGACCGTATTACAACATAGAGTACTTAAAAAACAGAGAGTTTCCTTCCATGAACTTTCCAGAACTTTGCCACTCTCCCCCAGGTGACGGAAATGGGTTCCCGTTAGGAAGTAATTCCTTGAATGATTTAGTGGCCTATTATGGCAGCTGAGATAAAGCTGGGGAAAATCTTCTCCCCCTCTCTCTCATTCTTCCTAAACTTATTTTCCTTGCCTACCTCTCCAACCTCTCCTCCTCCTTTACTCCATCTGCTTGCCTTTTCTCCCCTCTTCTCTCTTTACCCCCCCCCTACTTTCTCCTTTTCTTCCACTCTGTCTATTCCAAGTGGAATGACTTATTTACACTCGTTTACACTTTATCTCCCACCTATAATGTACCCTCTACTTTCTCCTCTCTTTCACATTTTCTTACATCGTTTCCTACTCCGAGCCTTTACCCACATGTTCAGAAAATCATAATCCCCGTAATTAATTTTTGTTGCCAACCTATGCATGATTAATAATTGTTACTATACATGATTGATATATGAATGAATGTATATTGATCAATGATTAATTATACATGATTAATATATAATTGTTATTATGCATGATTGATATATATTTGTAACTGTAATGCATTATTGTTTGTATATGTTTTATATGTAGTGCGACCTGCCATGGTTTCGGAAAGGGAACATGGACCTGGGGGGTGTTTCACAAAGATTCTAAGTTGAGCTTATCTCTAAGTTGGACTTAAAAATTATGGAAAGCCATTAGCATCTTTGAAAATATTTTGTAAAAGTTATTTTGAAAGGCATAAAATGTTGATTCAAATCATTCATATTTTCTATCATCAAGGAGATTTCATGTTCTTGATGTGGATTTTATAAAAAAGTCTAAAATAATTTAATTTTTGCTTTTGAATATATTTCATTTTAAGGCTCCAATGTCTGTCCATAATTTTTAAGTCCAACTTAGTGTTAAGTTCTACTTAGGATCTTTGTGAAACACCCCCCAGGTCTTGAATGTACACATGTATTCCTTGTATATGAAATAAAGGCATGATTTAACAACATTATTATTATCATCATCATCATCATCATCAAAAATGTATTATTATTATTATCATTGTTATTATTTCCTTGAAAGGTCCACATTAGAACAGATAACAAGGACTGGAGAACACACGTGGATCAGATGCATCTACACAAAGATGGGATTGAGACGGCTCTCTCAGAGACTAAGGTAAGTGTTGATCAAAGCAAGATTGTAGGAGTTTGTCAGCCTTAATGTTGAATAAAAAGAACAATCACAATGCCAACAACATATACATGTAAAAGAGAAAATTAACAAGTATAAATCACAAACGAATACAAATATGGTTGCATTTGCAAAGGCCACAGGCCTGTCAATGGCTATCACCATTACACAAAATATGATATTTGTATATATATATATATATATCTACCCAGTATATTAAAAAAAAAGGCATTTAAGATATTATTAAGAAGCACAAGAACTAGTTGTCAACTAGGATTCATACCGTAAATGGCAATATAAATCAGTTGAAAATTAAGTATTTATAAAGAATATTAAAAAAAAACAATATTAACTTTAAAAAAAACAACAAAAAAAACAAATCTTTTAAAGCCCGCCTGCACTACTTTAGGCAGGAAGGATTGGGCCACCCAGCGTAGTCACTGACCGGTGGTTATCTCATCAAATCAGCTCTCAATTAACATAAGAAAAAGGGGATCATGGGGGACCAGCGGTCACCAATTAGGCATTATTTGCTATATAGAGGCAGGGCGCGACAAACCCGCTTGCCCGACGTCCCGGGGCAACCAAATTGAGCCGTCGGGCAAGTAAATCAAATTATCACTTGCCCGATTCGGGCAAGTGATACTTTTACAGTAATTTCCTAGTGTCCAAGAACTCTACCATTCACCCGTCAACTTCTTACCCGTCGTCAAAATCCAGAAGCAAAAAAGCGATCGTTCCGATTTCGAAAAAACTTCACAGACAGCTAGCCAGCTCAGCTAGCTCAGCGCGCATGCAACAGTGACACTTCATCAAGCCATGAATGCCGCTCCGCCTCCACGCACGGCCGGCCGTGAGCTAGCTAGAGACAGCTAGCGCGATCGTACCAGCTGCGAGCTTATTCGCGCTCTCTCTCTCTAGCTCTGCAGGCCGCACCGACAGGCCTTTGCTATTCTCTGATTGCCGATTGGTTGAATCACGCCAAATATGACGTCATTATTCTAGGGAAATGAACACGTGCGAATCGGAATGGAATAAACAACAGGGATTTTCTAGTAAGTACAAAAAGTCAAATGTTTGATATTTATTCATAATGACTGTTAATGATTGTGAACATATTATTTAAAACTCGCTGCTCATATAAATCAGATGAATGTTTTTGTCTCGTTTTCAATTTATTACTGCAGTCTCAAGATCCGACCGAGCGAGTCATTTTGATAATAGTATCGAGACCCCCAGAATATAAGCCGTTGTTGTTTTGTTTTCATGGTTTTAGCGACGTTGTTTAGTCTAGTTTTCGCATACTTATCCGAGATTTATCGTAAAATATCTTCAATATTATTATTTAGTAAGAATTTACAAATTTTGGCATGATATTTATAGCAGTGAATGATGAAATAAAAATGTCCGTACTTTATTTAAAATAGTTGATTACCCATTATTTACATGACGTTTCTTGATGGAAGAGTTGACCCAAATTATTAACAGCTGAAAATTAGCCTACGTTTCCAAATGACAGCGGCTTGCACAGACACACACGTGCGTTGATCAGCTGTTTTTTCTCGATTGTGCTAGTAAACATGGAGGCACCGCCAGCCAAGAAAGCGAACTACTTTTTCGCTTTAAAGTTTTGGGCAAGTGGAAATATTGTTTGGGCAAGTAAATTGAAAACCCACTTGCCCGACAGGGCAAGTGGTGAAAAAAATTCTTGTAGCACCCTGAGGCGCAAGTAGCTATAAGTTGTGCAGTGGGGCTTTAAACACGGCAAGTAAAGGACAGATTTTACTTCATTGCTTAAGGAATTCTTTCATATCACCTCCATATTTATCATTTATCAGGGTTACCTTGACAAACTGCACAAGTAAGAATTGATGAGAAAAATTGCTAGTGAGGGAAAACATTTGATTTCATTGCTTAGTGAATACCTTCATATCACCTCCATATTTATCATTTACCAGGGTTACCTTGACAAACTGCACAAGTAAGAATTGATGAGAAAAATGGCTAGTGAGGGACAACGTTTGATTTCATTGCTTAAGGGATACCTTCATATCACCTCTATATTTATCATTTATCAGGGTTACCTTGACAAACTGCACAAGTAAGAATTGATGAGATAAATGGCTAGTGAGGGAAAACATTTGATTTCATTGCTTAGTGAATACCTTCATATCACCTCCATATTTATCATTTACCAGGGTTACCTTGACAAACTGCACAAGTAAGAATTGATGAGAAAAATGGCTAGTGAGGGACAACATTTGATTTCTTTGCTTAAGGGATTCCTTCATATCACCTCCATATTTATCATTTACCAGGGTTACCTTGACAAACTGCACAAGGAGATCACAAGGACGTTGGAGAAGATAGGGAGCAGAGAGAAATACATCAACAACCAGCTTGAGCATCTACTACAGGACTTCAGAGGAACACAAGATGGTTTAGCTGAGGTAAGTCTGCAGAGGTGTTGTGGTCTAGTAGATGAGTCTCCGCAATGCCAACCACAAGGTATGGGGTTCGAATCCCTGTTGAAGCACTTATGTTACAACTAGTTAATGTACCATCATCTTACCATCATATCACTGTGAAATTCCCATCATGTTTATGCTCATATTACTGTTGTATTACTTTCTTAGTAATACATGTATTGTGGTACATGTTCCAACATATTGCTGTTGTATAACTTTCTTAGTACTATCATGGTACCAATACATTAATGTTGTATTACTTCCTAGTACTATCATGGTACCAACATAAAACTGTTGTATTAATTTCTTGGTACTATCATGGTACCAACATACATATTACTGTTGTATTACTTTCTTGGTACTAACATATTACTGTTGTATTACTTTCTTGGTACTATCATGGTACCAAAGTATCACATTTACCTTCATATATTCTTCAATATACTGTCAAATTTGTTAGCATATCAATGTTCATTATTACTTTTATATTACTGTGAAATTACAGTCATATTTACCTTCATATTTTCTTCACATTACCTACATACAGTGTAGTTCTGTTAAATTACCATCATATTAAACTTCATATCACCCCCAATATTACCTTTGTGTTACTGGCAAAATACCATCGCTTTAACTTCTGGCTCTCAGTAAACAATGACCCCTTCAAATTACCATGATATTACCAGTCATGATACTGTAATGTTACTGCCATATTGTCTGTGCACAGTATTACCATCATAAGTTTAGTCTGTCATTTTAAAGCCCACCACAAATTATACAGTCCGATTTCGGAAGTAATTTGCAATAGCATTTGATATGAACATTCCAACATGTTATCTTCATGTTGTTTTCATATCACCTTCACACCAACGTCATATTACCATCTTACATTTGTTACTGTTGTACAGGTGAAGGAACAATACAGGCAGGTTAGTGGATGAGTGACAGAAAGAACCAGCCAGCTATCTTCATATTACATTCATCTTACTATAATGTTACCTTTATGTTGCTAATATATCACCTTCACATCAACGTCATATTACCATCTTACATTTGTTATTGTTGTACAGGTGAAGGAACAGTACAGGCAGGCCAGCGGTGGAGTGACAGAACGAACGAGACAACTTGCTGAAGTGACAGAAGAATTGGAACGGATAAAACAAGAGATGGAAGAGAGGGGGTCAAGCATGACCGATGGATGTAAGTTGAACTTTCTTTTTGTAAACTTTTGTTAGAGGTTTGAGGAAGCGAGTAAGTTTATTTGGTAGGGTGTCTATCTGTTTAACAATAGATTGAATATGAATCCAGCTCAGGCAGATGGGGTGAAGCGTGCATTATGTGTTAACATGCCCCTCCCCTGGCCCATAGGCATAGGTGGGGTTACAGTCGAGAACTCTGTCCCTCAGATAGGATGTTAATGGGAGGCCCATGTGGAGGAGAGCTGCTAGCTCTCGATGTTCAGAACCCACTGCACTATTTTACGATAGATTAAGGGGAAACCCGTGTTCAGAGGTACACCTGCACATCCCAAACCAGCAGTATGTTTTTCTGTTTACGTTTTTCCTTTCACAAAAAATAATTAGTTAATTTCATTATGTATGTATACGGAAGTGTCTTAGTCGAGTGGTTTAAGCACTTGACTTGAAATGCACAGGTTGTGGGTTTGATCCCTGACATGGCACTAATGTCCTTTGGCAAGGCGTTATATCTACATTTGCCACTCCTGATAGGATGACAAAAGCTTTTGTGTTAGTAATTGCCATATCCACTCACTGTGACCATGGCAGGAATACTCCCCAGGGAGTGGAGTTGGTGCACATTGTGTGTGAATGAATCCGATGATCGGGGTAATAATATCAGTACAGCGCTCAGAGACGTTTTTATTATTATTATTATTATTTATTTATCTTGCAGCTCCGTTGGTGAAGATCAAGCAAGCTCTCCAGCGTCTGAAGAACGAGGTCATCCAGATGGATGTCAGGGTAGGGGTCGTGGAGCAAAACCTTCTTCAAGCAAAGCTCAAAGACAAGACTAACATGCAAAGGGATATGAATAAACCCATCGGAAATGGAAATGAATATGATTATTAAAAGGGATAAACACGATCGCATCTATTGTACATCCGGCCATAGATATCATGTTCTGATTACCGGTATGTAGTATGTCGTTGTAATTATCACACATTTCAATAGGAGACTATTGAAATTGCTTTAGGTTGATCTTCCAAAGTAAATGCGATCCAGATTATAAAAGTTTGGGTTGTAAATAACACAGACTATAGGCTAAACATTTAAGCAAAGTTGGAAGAGAAGAATGCAGATTACTATAGGAGTTTAAAATAGGGGTTGTGGAGCAAAACTTCCGAGGAAAGCTGAAAGATAAGATTGTCATACAAAGAGGTGTGAATAAATCTATTTGTAATGCTAATGAATATGATTGTAAAAAGTAAAAAGTAAATGGGATATGATTGGTACAGGCTACAGACAGCGCAAAGATGAAGGAGAAATAGAGTGGTGAAGTGTGACGTCATCAAAAATCTATTTTTAGAATTTCTCAATTTCTCAATTTCTCAATTTTTTCTTCATTTTCCGAAAGACCATCAAAAATAATGTCCAAATGTCGAAAAACCAATTGAATATGTTAAGTATTGGCTGAGATATGACCATCTGCATAAATATATGTCCTATAGGAACTCAGTGTTATATGCTCTGGCTCCTAATGGTTAGGAGCCAGAGCATATAACACTGAGTTCCCATAGGCAATCTTTTTATTCAGATGGTCATATCTCAGCCAATACTTAACATATTCAATTGGTTTTTTCGACATTTGGACATTATTTTTGATGCTGTTTCGGAAAATGAAGAAAAAATTGAGAAATTCTAAAAATAGATTTTTATGACGTCACAGCTTCGGTACTCTATGCAGATTACTGTCAGTTTGAGATAGGGATGGTTGGACAAAACCATCTATACAATTTTGTTGGTTTGTTTGTTTTGCCTGATTGCTAAGAAAGTTAAGAAGCGTTTACCGGTATGCTTGTATGTAAACAACCAGGGACAGACAGATTAAGGACTATCCGAGGGGCTTGCTATGGTATTGAGAATTAGTGCCTTATCAAAGGGCACACGCGCATCGACTTGCTTTCGATCCCGGGACCTTCAAGGTACGAGACCACTGCTCTACCCCAGAGCCGCCTCAAATATCAGGGATGCCAGTTTTCAGGCAATAGCCTAAATTTAGGCCCTGGCGAGTTATTTTCATAACATAGTTTAGGCTTTTTTTGTGTACAAACAAGCTCATTCTAGGTGATTTTCAGGCCCTCTGATCAATTCTAACTGGCATCCCTGAAATATGAATGTTTGTTTCAAATCTGGGTATGAATCACACATGCTAGTGAATATGATCATTAATTGTGTGACAGATTGTTAAAGGCCATGATGTAAGGCTCAAATAATACCTTACAGTTTGGTCCTCTCACCCTCCTGGCAGTATCCCTCCATGCAGGAAGTAGCGAGTTCAGCTGAACCGCCTATGATCAGACGCAGGCCGCTTTGCAGCAAGAATGAAGCTCTGGGGTCTCAAAGACTCTGACCGTGTCCATGTACTCAAATTCAGACTGTATGAGTATGTTCTGAATGAGTGTGCTGTAGCAGGACCCCATGTCCCCTCACTGATATTTACAACCCACATCTGGTGTCATATTGAAACAATTGTCAGTTTTAAATAGCTATGGTTGATATACGCAACGATAATAACTGACCAATCACAAAGCAGCATGGAGTACATTGACCTTTAGATTTCCACTTAATTCAATCTGCTTTGGTGCAATGAAAACTTTATGGATGGTAAATAAAAAAAATTCATAAAAACATGGCCTCCTTTCACAAAACCATCTTAATTACAAGTTCAGCAACATCCCATCCAAATATGCTTGAACAAGCGTTTAAATGAGATGCTGACGAACTTGTATTTCAGATTGTTTTGTGAAACGATGCCTAGATTCCTAAAAAGTTTTACATTTATAATCATTATTTTCATGCAACGGAATTCTTGACAGAGCAATAGATAAATAGATTGCAGTATCTTCTTGTAATGTAGTAGAAGTAGGAGACTTTGTTATCCATCAAATATTGGATTTTGGAAATCATTGTGAATATCTGTGTTTAACATTATGTAAATTAATAAAGTTCTGTATATGTATGTAAATAGCTCTTTTGTGAAAATACATAGATGAGCACCATGTAATAAGTAGTTCTTTGTACATCTGTTGTAAAGTGTGAATAAAAAGCCTATTTGAAAAAAAAGTTACAAACCCAACATCCTTTGTGTGGTAATTTTGTACTTGAAGCCATTACACTCAGCTCATCCAGTAGTATCTTTTGACATGCAGATTACACCAAGATGCAGGGTTTCCACAGTCATGGAGAAACTCATAAAAAAATCATAAAAAATAGCTTTTTTTGGAAAGTCATGGAAAATGAAAAAAAATATCCCAAAGTCGTGGAATGTCATGGAAATTGATCGTGGGTGTGGGCCTTCCGGTTAGAACTTACAAATTTGTATGCCGCTTGGATGCCGCAATGAACCCACATCAAAATGGTACTTATCTGGTTATCAAAAAAGGCAAGATGGGTCATAGAAAGTTATTGGAATTTGGTTTTCACTTTTCTTAAAAAATACCCGCTCTATTCCGTGCCATATCTTCCACTTCACTATACCACTGCATGTACCCCTCCCCCAAACCTCTGTCATACAGTCTAAATCTCTCCTTTCTCTCGTTTGCTTGCTCTATTTCTCACTTCTCTTCCCCCTAACAACCCCCCCCCCCCCCCCCACCCTCTCATACACTCCAAGATTTTGATCTCCTTTCTCTCCTTCCTCCCTCTTACTGGTACACATTGGCCATCTACCTCTACATCCCTAATTATGATCTAAATCTCTCCTTTATATTCTCTTGCTCACTGTATACCTCTCCCTCCCTCTCCCCCCCCCCCCCCCTCCCATGCACCCTCATCTCTCTCTCCCTCCGTTTCTTCTCCATTTCCTCCCTCACATTCTTTCCTCCCTCCATCGCCACTCACATGCACCCTCATCTCTCTCCCTTCCCTCCCTGCCTCCCTCTCTGGATTAAAACCTTACAAATAATTCATAAATTCAGACTTGGAATAAGAAATACAACAAACAATTTAATCTTTGACATATACTCTGTACACATAAACATGGTATGCACAAAAATGTTTGTTATGAACATATTTCAGATGTAATAACTTTTCAATTTCAGATAATTTGGAATCCTTTGCATATCATAAATACAAGGCTGTACACTTACAAACCATAAGGTCATATGATGGTCATATGATTTGGACTACAGTGATCAGATTTTCTTCTTGATATTGATTTATACACTGATGAGAATTATGTTGTACAGTAAACACACACTGGTATGCCAGTTTGTATTGAAAAATGGTGATTTTGACAAATTCAACATGTCACAGAGTTCAGGGTTTCAATGCATATTTCCCTCCTATACAAGTAGCTCTTGGCATCAAGGCTAATATCAAATCACATGACCACTTTGTTCATATATGCAGGCATTCAACATAAGGCACACTAAACTTGGTACATATCTACTCAGAGGCCTGATGGTTAATTAAATGGAAGAAGAAAAAAACAACAACACTATTAAGTACTGGAATAATCCTTGAATTGTGGTATGTACATACATACCAGATACCAGATATACATTATCACAACTTCACTCATTCCTGCCAACTTTTCACTTCAAGAAGATAGACAAATTTTGTCTCTATTTATAGTATATACAAAGCATAATGCACACACAACTTGGTACACATCTAGTGATACTTAAAATTGAAGAAAATGAAGAAAAAACAAAAACATTATCAAGTACTGGAATAATTCCTTAATTGTAGAGTTGGGCCAGATATACATTATCGCAATTTCACTCATTCCTGTCAACTTTTCACTTCAGGAAGATAAACACATTCTATCTCTGTTTATATTACATACCAATCATAAGGCACACACAACTTGGAAGAAGGCAAAGAATGGAAGAAGACAAAGAAAAAAGAAAAACATTATGAAGTACTGGAATAATCCCAGCATTATAGATCTACATACATGTAAAATTGGGCCCAAAACATCACAACTTCACTCATTCCTGCCAACTTTTCACTTCAGGAAGATAGACAAATATGGTCTCTGTTAATATACAGTGCGTCCCAGAAAAAACGAAACCGAGAAGTATCGATGTTCTATCATAACTAAATCACAACCATAATTAATGAATGATACATATTTGGAAAGCTTAGAGTCTCCTCTTTCAGTTGATGCTACTCAGATGATGCATATTTCACGCATGAGTGATTAAAAGCAATTTAAAGGAAGGAAACCAAAAAGACATTTGGCGGGCGGTATCTGAATTTCGAAGGAAAATTCACATTTCTAGAAAGTTGAGTTTCTGCCCTTTCATATGACACCTCAATCAGGAAAAATGAGCGAGGAATGACAAAGTTCTGTTTGTTTAAAGTAGTGCTTGCATTTCCATAATTTTATTAAACGAATTCGTTTTCACTTGCTGCCTGCCGTATCAATAAACGAAATTAACAAAAGACTTAACTCCGTTTCGTTGACAATCAGCAGTAGACGAGAGTCTTCATGCATGGCTGATTGTCAATGAAACGGAGTTAAGTCTTTTGTCAAATCTGCTTTTTGCTACGGCAGGCACCCAGTGAAAACGAATTCGTTTGTTAAAATTATGAACATGTAAGGGCTACTTTAAACAAACATAACTTTGTTATTCCTCGCTCATTTTTCCTGATTGAGGTGTCATATGAAAGGGCAGAAACTCAACTTTCTAGAAATGTGAATTTTCCTTCGAAATTCAGATACCGCCCGCCAAATGTATTTTTGGTTTCCTTACTTCAAATTGCTTTTACTCACTCATGCGTGAAATATGCATCATCTAAGTAGCATCAACTGAAAGAGGAGACTCTAAGCTTTCCAAATATGTATCATTCATTAATTATGGTTGTGATTAAGTTATGATAAAACATCGATACTTCTCGGTTTCGTTTTTTCTGGGACGCACTGTATACAGTATATATATCACTAATCACTCTGAGACGAGTGAATCCTGATGGGAATGAGTGCAGTGGAGAAATTCTGAGTAAAATGAGTTTCTTCCAGGTGCATGTAAACTTTCGGGGCCCAACTGTGTATCCTCAACTCCTGTGAACCTGAACAGAATGCATAACATTGAGTACAACATGGTACTATTAATACTTTAATTACAATCACAATACAAATCAACCTCATAGTCAATATTCATTCTGGGGGCTCTTCCATAAAAAGTGGAAATTACATTTTTGAGTTGTGTTTGACATTTTAAAACTTTTAAAGGCAAGAGGGTCCTCGTAATGCAATTCCACTTCCACACTGTATTGCTAAAACAAATCTAAGAGAAAAGAAATTCACGAAAAAGAAGTTTTAGTAAA